CATTATCCTCCTCATTAACAACGCCATCATGAAGAGAACCATTATTCATTATTTAATTAATTTCGTGAAGAGCGAAGTCTCCCGCGACCACAGCTTCTGATGAACTTTGACTAAAAAGACCAGAAAGTTTCTTAAAGTATTTTCCTAATAGTATATTTGCATATTATTAGCGGACATAATTTATTCCGACGATAATGGACCGAAATGTACTTGTTCGATCCCACAACTCAAGTAGGAGTTGCTTTTAGAATCATGGTTCCCTCAAGATCTATCTATAATGCTTGACAGTCTGCATTTGGAGTTCGAGGTACACTTGGGATGACTTTTTGAATAGATATTTAAATATTTGATGGTATTTTTCCCCCCGCACGAACACCCGAGGAGGACGCTGGAGTGTCTTTGTCAAATATTCCTCCTAATATCAAAAGGAATTATGCATCTTGAATCATCTTCTCGCTGCCAGTGTGTGGATATAAGATCTTGCCTTCGCGGCTATTTCCAGAGTCTTAAATATTCAACATCTAAAAAGCATAAGAGGCGTTAAGAGTGAAACAGATTCGGAACTCGGAGGAGGAGGTTATATATATAAACTTTCCGCATTTTTATGTACTGAGGCGGGTCGAGTTCGCAAAGAAGTTAGACCGCTCGCGACGAAGACTCATCTGCATCTTAATTCTGCGCCTCGTGAATCTGTCAATGGCTTCCTCGGGAGGGGGGGGCGGGCGGCGACGGGCGGGGCGGCCCAGCGGGGGGGCGCGACTCACCGCGCAGCACGGACAGGTGGATAGATAAAAAAAAAAAGAGATAGGATATATAGATAGAAGAGGTAAGGAGGAGAGGGGAGAGGGAGCAGGAAGGAGAGGGAGAGGGAGCAGGGAAGAGGAAGAGGACCTCGAAGAGCGGAAAGAAGAGCAGATGATGGAGAGAAAGAGACAGATAGACCTAGGAGAGAGAGAAAGAGGGGCTAAATCGGAGACGAGACGAATAGGACAGAGAGAAAGGAGAGAAGAGAGCGAAGACCGGAGATAGAGCGAGATGGAGAGGGAAGGGAGAGATGGAGAGAGAAGAGACGGAGGGAGGAGGAGAGAGAGGGAGAATGAGTCTGGCGGATGAGCGAGGGAGAAGCGTGAAGAAAAGAGAGCGGAGAAAAAGACAAGACATGAGAATAGGATGAAGAGAGAATCCAAACATACAGAACAGACACACACAACGATAGAAGGGGACAGCAGGCAGACAGACAGAGAGTTTGCGTCCAAATGCTAAATTCAAATGCCAGTCATCCCGCGACCCACTCTCCGCACCAATTTTCCCCCCCCCCCCCGAACCAAAAGCAAGAAACACCCCAAAACAACCCACATTTCACTTCATTGGTCTGGCGAAATTTCAAAAACCACCAGGGGACGGTTCTTCGACAGCCATTATTCATCAAAAAGGAACAAGACGATGGAATCCTGGCAAAGGGTCGGGGGGGGGGAGGGGGAGAGGGGCGGAGGAAGAAGGGAATGGAGCAGGGGGAGGAGAATCAGCGAGAAGCACGAGGAAAGGAAGGAGCTCGCAGGAGGCGGGAAGGAAGGATAAACACGACAGAGAAGAAGAAGTGGGAGAGGAAAACAGCGAGAGAGGTGAGTCAGAGAGAGAGAAGATGAGAGGAAAGAGAGAATGAGATCGAGCAATCGAAGAGAAGATGAGAGAGAAGACCGGACGAGAGTGGGCGAGACGGGACAGAAGACGAGGAGAGGAGAGAAGAGGAGAGAGAGGAGAGAACTGAAGAGGAGGAGAGGGAGGATAAGAGACGAAGAGAAGATGAGTGAATTGATAAAAATGGATGATTCAGTCAGCAAGCAGCGGAATCCACCAGACGATCACGTAGTAGAAAGAAGGAGAAAAAGGGAGAAAAAAAGAGGAAACTAAAGACAGAACCCAGCGTGAGGGAGAAAGAGACAGAAGAGACGAGAGAGAGAGCAGACAGAGACGAGGAGAAGAGAGATGGAGAGAGGACTGAGGGAGGAGGAGAGAGAGAGGATGATGAGCTTAGATAGAGATGGACGAGGAGTGAGGAGAGGAGATGAGGGAGACGATGAGATGAGAGAAAGAGAAGGGCTGAGGATTAGGGAGGGGTTGATAAATGGAGGGAGGTGGAGAGAGGAAAAGAGCGGTGAATAAAAAAAATGGACGGGAGAGAGAAGAGAGGGGAAAAGAGAAAGACATAGAGAGAGAAAGAGAATAACTAAGAGAGGGCGCGAAGAGAGAAAAGAGAAGGACATAGAGAGGAGAAATGACGAGATGAGAGAAGGACGAAGAGAGAAGAGACTAATGACGAGACGAAGAACGTGTAAGAGAGATTTCAATCCTGTGAGGATCCGAACGGGAAGGAGGAGAGATGGAGTGAGCGAGAAACATGAGAGGAGAAGAGAGAAGAGAATTGGAGAGAGACGAGAATGAAGACAACAGAGCAAGAAATGGGTATGAGGTAGGGGAGGGATAAATGAGGGAGAGAGAGAAAGAAGAAAGAAGAGAGAGAAGAGACCAGAGCGGACGACGAGAGAGACAGACCTCTCGGAGATGAGAGAAGAGACGAGGATGAAAGATCGAGTAGAGAAGACTGACGACCGAGACGAGATGAGACGGACGAGAGGAGAGACGACGAGAAGAGAGAACCCTATAGACAGAGATAGGAATAGAGATAGATGAAAAGAAGTGGAGAGGATAGGTAGATAGAAGAGGGGCAGAGAGAGAGGGCCAATCCAACCCCGAGGCCTAGTACTTCCGGCAGGGCCATTAAGAGTTAAAAGGCAAACATTCCTTTGGAGGCTCGCGCCGTTCGAGGAATTCTTTTCATAAGGTCTCGGTGTCTGTCTTGCGGCTCCAATTGGATTCAAGACACAAACACAGCTGTTCGACTCATTAACATACAGCTGTTTTCTGCAATCACACTTTTTTCCCCCTGAGTTGATTGGACATTGTTCGCTGCTTGTGATCGCTCCCCTTGTGAATCCGATGTGGGCTGAGGCATGTGTTCTTTGTTGTATTGTGTGTTTGTCTGTTTGGTTATGTGTGTATGGTGTGTGTTTGTGTGTCGTGTGTATGTGTGTGTGTTGTGTGTGTGTGTGTGTGTGTTGTGTGTGTGTGTTGTGTGTGTGTGTGTGTGTGTGTGTGTGTGTGTGTGTGTGTGGTGGTGTGTGTGTGTGTGTTGTGTGTGTGTGTTGGTGTGTGTGTCTGCGTTGTGTGTGTGTGTGTGTGTTGTGTGTGTGTGTGTGTTTGTGTGTGTTATGTGTTGGTATTAATGTAATTTGTGTGTATTGTTTGCTCACGGGAGGAGTATGTTTAGTTATTATTATTTTTAGAAGAGCACGGGAAGAGCAGTACTGTTTAGAAGTATCCTTTGTTAACGTCACTGATGGAAGTGCCACTTGAATAATTCTTTGTCCAACATACTTAAATGCTACTTACACTTTATAAGTAAAAGCCAGTGGTACAACCAGGTTAGAAGGAGAACCGAATTCCTCCGGATGTTTACAAAGGCTGGAACATAACCACATTATGCATAATCCTGGTATTATTTTACTGAAAGAGAAACGTTTGTAGTTACTCCTTTATGGTCAGGTATAATTTGATTCATAAAAAGATAAGGAACTCTCCTACAGTGACATTGCGTCGAGTTTACATTTACGCTGAAAACTGCAGGCATGAAGGACCTGAAATGTACCAGGATAAGCTTGTGCTTCATAAATACATCTACTGGAGCCCCCTTTGTGAAAGCGGTTCCTTTGAGAAATTAATCATCTGCGTAATCTAAGAATAATGTAGCATGGGAGGGAAACGGAAAACGCGTTACATACCAAACTAAAGAAGGATTATTTTAACGTTAAAAAACACAGCCGTTCACACACGCAACTCACGCACACACACACACACACACACACATACACACACACGCACTTATTCACTCACTCACTCGCACACACACTCACTCTCACACACACATTGCTAGGCCTATAGCCGGAACCGAACTGCGACTGAGACTGACGCCATTAATGCACAAACGAACAATCTGCCGGGGTTCATGTGCGTGACTGCACAGGAGGGGGGGGGGGGTGACACGAAGGAGTGCGTGCGCTAATGCTGATTCCTCGGAATGGAGCGCAGCCAATAAGTAGCCATGCGAAGACATGACGTTTCGGGTAAACCTTGACTGCTCGTCCGTACCGTAAAATCGAAATTCCTCCATTTCGATTTCATCACCTGACCCGTAGCGTCATGTTTTCGTATTCCACATTGTTTTATTTGATTTAAACGTTACCTTTTTTTTTGTCTTTATGGTCCATGCCTCTGTTACTGTGCTTGCCTAATGTGTGTGTGTGTGTGTGTGTGTGTGTGTGTGTGTGTGTGTGTGTGTGTGTGTGTATGTGTGTGTGTGAATGAGTACGTACATGTATTACCACAGACTATGTATGTATTCATAAGACCGTATATGTATAGATTTCCCCCGTGGATAGGGGGGCGTAAAAAGAATACTGCCAACGCATGTCACTGCGTGTCGTAAAAGCGCGACTTATAAGACCCCCTGCCACCACTTCCCCAGCGTGGTAGCCCCCCTCTCCCCATCAGCGGGGTAGGGTGTGGCCCACCCTCTCCCCCATCAGCGTGGTAGGTGTGTGGCCCACCCTCTCCCCCATCAGCGTGGTAGGGTGTGGCCCACCCCCTCCCCCATCAGCGTGGTAGGGTGTGGCCCACCCTCTCCCCATCAGCGTGGTAGTGTGGCCCACACTCTCCCCATCAGCGTGGTGGGTGTGGCCACACTCTCCCCACCTTGATACGCGTCTCAAACCAACATTAAGGCCGTTCCCGCTGAGTCGCCGAGCTCCAAAGCGCTGGTGCCGGAAGACTGGAGACAGAACGACGAAGAAGGGTCTGGGGGAAGGCCGCGGCCAACACCAGATGTAAAAGAGGAGGCTGAAAGGACGAATATGCATAGATTACCGAGAGGAAAAAACAACTACTTGTCGTAGTTGATCATCCTGTCGCCGCGGTACCAAAACACGTAGACGGGCGGCTCCGTGGCGCCCTTCAGGAGGCACACCAGCATGAGGGACGACCCGCTGTGGATGTAGCGCTCGGGCCCGCCGTGGATCTCCGCGTGCGCCACTGCAGGAGAGAAGGGGCGGCGTGAGTAGGGGGCAAAGGTGGCCGAGGGAGGGAGGAGGGGGGGGAGGAGGAGGCAAGGGCGGGGGTGAGTAGGGGCAAGGTTGCCGAGGAGGGAGGGAGGGAGGGGGAGGAGGAGGAAGGCGGGGGTAGGAAGGTGAGGAGGAAGGAGCGCGAGGAGGAGGCAAGGGCGGGAGAGGGAAAGGGACTGGAGGAGGGAGGGAGGGAGAACGAGACATAGGGGGGCAGGAGGGGAGGAGGAGGAGGAGGTAAGGCGGGCGAGGGAAGGGGGCGGGGGGGGGGAGGCAAAGGCGGGGGGAGGGAGGGGAGGGGAGGAGACGAGACATTGGGGGCAGGAGGGGGAGGAGGAGGAGGGAAGGGACGGGAGGGAGGGAGGGGGAGGATACGAGTATGGGGGGCGGCGAGGGAGGGAAAGGGAGAAGGGAGGGAGGGGAAGGGAGAAAGGCGGAATGGGGAAGTAGGATAGGGGAGGGGAGGGAGGAGGAGGGAGGGGGAGGATGGAGAGGGGGAGAAGATTTGTACGAGGAACAGGTCGAAGGAAAGGGACATGAGAGAGGGGATGAGAAACATGACAAGGGGGGAGAGAAAGAGAGGGAAAGGTCGGTAATGGTGCTGTCACACTATCACTTTTTCCGTCAATTTTTTGACAATTTTTATTAACATAAATACAAACATTCTCGAATATAACTCTTGATCTGACCATGCTTGGCTGAAAAAGTTGACGGAAAGGTTTTCAGACGGAAACGATCATTGTCGTCTGACTGGAAAATCGACAATTCGCTCAAAAATTGACAAAATTTCAGAAAATTGTTTTAAAAAATTACGGAAAAAGTGCTAGCGTGACAGCGCCTTAAGAGGCCGAGGGAGAAGAGAAAGAGAAACAGAGGCAAAGGAGGTAGGTGAAGTAGGAGAGAGGGAGACGAGGAAAGGAAAAGCAGAAAGGATAGGAAGGAGAGGGTAGAGGGCAAGGATGAGAAAGAGTGGACGGAAGAGGGAAAGGAAGAAGGAGGTGGCCTTGAGGGGAAGGAAGAGGTGGAGGTAATGAGTTGGAGAAGGAGAGGAAGAGGGAACGGAGAAGAAAGAGAGAACGAGGAGGGAGAGTGATATGTGAAGATAAAAGGAAAGGATGAGGAGAGGGAGAGGGGAAAATAAGAGCTGAGAAGGAGA